CAGAGACAGTCCCACCGGTCCCACTCATGGGGTAGGGACAGTGGGCAGAGACAGTCCCACCGGTCCCACTCATGGGGTAGGGACAGTCGGCAGAGACAGTCCCATCGGTCCCACTCATGGGGAAGGGACAGTCGGCAGAGACAGTCCCACCGGTCCCACTCATGGGGTAGGGACAGTCGGCAGAGACAGTCCCACCGGTCCCACTCATGGGGTAGGGACAGTCGGCAGAGACAGTCCCACCAGTCCCACTCGTGGGATAGGGACAGTCGGCAGAGACAGTTCCACCGGTCCCACTCATGGGGTGGGGACAGTCGGCAGGGACAGTCCCACCGGTCCCACACATGGGGTAGGGACAGTCGGCAGAGACAGTCCCACCGGTCCCACTCATGGGGTGGGGACAGTCGGCAGAGACAGTCCCACCGGTGCCGCCCTCAGAGACCGGTGGGCGACTCCCACCACCAGTCCCCGGTGGGTGATGGGACCGGTGGGCGACTCCCACCACGAGTCCCCGGTGGGTGATGGGACCGGTGGGCGACTCCCACCACGAGTCCCCGGTGGGTGATGGGACCGGTGGGCGACTCCCACCACCAGTCCCCGGTGGGTGATGGGACCGGTGGGCGACTCCCACCACGAGTCCCCGGTGGGTGATGGGACCGGTGGGCGACTCCCACCACCAGTCCCCGGTGGGTGATGGGACCGGTGGGCGACTCCCACCACGAGTCCCCGGTGGGTGATGGGACCGGTGGGCGACTCCCACCACCAGTCCCCGGTGGGTGATGGGACCGGTGGGCGACTCCCACCACCAGTCCCCGGTGGGTGATGGGACCGGTGGGCGACTCCCACCACGAGTCCCCGGTGGGTGATGGGACCGGTGGGCGACTCCCACCACCAGTCCCCGGTGGGTGATGGCACCGGTGGGTGATGGGACCGGTGGGCGACTCCCACCACCAGTCCCCGGTGGGTGATGGGACCGGTGGGCGACTCCCACCACCAGTCCCCGGTGGGTGATGGGACCGTCGGTGACCCGCCGGGCCGACGGTTGTTCCCGCTGCCCTCTGCTACCGCCGGCCGACAGCCAGCCGGCAGCTCTCTTGTGGCGGCCGTCGGCGCCGCTCAGTGACCCACGGGGCCGGCGCTGAGGTGCCGCGGCGCGCCGCACCCCCAGCTACCCAGTGGCGGCCCGTGGACACGCGTCTGGTGACGCACCGCCCCGCCGCGCCCCACCTGGGCCGTGACCTGGCCGGCGGCGGCGGTGGCGGCGGCGGCGGCGCGCCGGACGGTCACCAGTAGAGCTCCGACAGAGTCTCAGATCGACCGGGCCGTGCAGCGAGCAGCGAGCCGGGCAGCCGCGCCGAGGGGCGGGCCGGGCGGCCGAGCCGGTCCGCACCTCTGTCGGAGGGGCGGGCGGTACGTCCGGTCCGCACCTCTGACCAGTCGGAGGGGCGGGCGGTACGTCCGGTCCGCACCTCTGACCAGTCGGAGGGGCGGGCGGTACGTCCGGTCCGCACCTCTGCCCAGTCGGAGGGGCGGGCGGTACGTCCGGTCCCACCTCTGACCAGTCGGAGGGGCGGGCGGTACGTCCGGTCCGCACCTCTGCCCAGTCGGAGGGGCGGGCGGTACGTCCGGTCCCACCTCTGACCAGTCGGAGGGGCGGGCGGTACGTCCGGTCCGCACCTCTGCCCAGTCGGAGGGGCGGGCGGTACGTCCGGTCCGCACCTCTGACCAGTCGGAGGGGCGGGCGGTACGTCCGGTCCGCACCTCTGCCCAGTCGGAGGGGCGGGCGGTACGTCCGGTCCGCACCTCTGCCCAGTCGGAGGGGCGGGCGGTACGTCCGGTCCGCACCTCTGACCAGTCGGAGGGGCGGGCGGTACGTCCGGTCCGCACCTCTGCCCAGTGGCCACTGCAGTGTCCGTGTATGGCCCCAGAACACGCCACGGGTGTCTCCCGAGCCGTGTGTGTCTCCGAGTCGGTAGTGTGTCCAGCCGGTGTTGGACAAGTGCCGCTGGCCGGCCGTGGCGGCTGGAATGGAGGGCCGGGCACGGGCCGGCCGGCTCATCCGCCGGCGGTGGGAGGCCCGGTGTCAGCTGTGGGTCACAAACCAGCACCGAACACTGCAGTTGTGAGGGGGACGGGTGCAGGCCATACAACACACACAGAACTGCAACAGGGAACTGCTTACATGACACAAGTCAGAGTGGCCAAAACACATGTGCAATGTGCAGGAATCTCAGGAAAAGGTATATGTGTGGTCTGATCCCACGTATAGTTATCCTGATCTTGGATCCGATGGGATCCTAGATCCAGTCAAATGGCTCGAGACAGCAGCTGATTTACCCGAGGCGGCTCTCAGACCTGATCCCAAATGACGGCGGGTGTATACAGTGTGTCGTATACAGGTTATCGTCCGCCCGGCACCGGGGAAGGCGGTGAAATACGGCGAGTGGCGATCCAGCCAGTCAGTGTGTGGCCGCCGGTTAACGGTGAACTCCCACGCTGGGCCCGTATTATAGATATATACGACACCTGTTGATGATGTGCACGGAACAGAAGGACCAGGCCTCGACGGCCGACGGTGTGCTCTGGAGCCGGGACCGCAGCTCGCCAGGTCACAGCAGCGGCGGCACAGCGGCGCAGAAACACCCCCCCCCCTCCCTCTGGTGGAGCCAAACTGTACTCAGGTCACCAGGACATTAGCACAGATGATGAGGTAAGCTCCGAAGGTAGCTGTTTTCCAGGACAAAGACTGGACATGTGTAAAATGTATTAGTCAAAGCGCAGCCGATTATCAGTAGCATGGCCAAGTGATAACTAAAATCTAAAAAGCCGTTCCGCAGTCGGAGTCAAGGCAGCTTGATCGACACGGACTCCGACTCCGACTCCCAATCGGTCGGTAGCCCAATTACCCCCCTGTACGAAGCAGAGGACACAAAACATGGCGGCGCGCACCCGGGCCGTGACGGCGTGCTTCCGTGAACCGAGTCGGACAGACGCGAGGACACTCGTTATGACCGGTGCCGTCAGAGCTCTACACAATTCAGTAGCATCCAGCTGACTGTATCCGGCCGTTGGATAGCCGGCTATATCATACCCAGGGTTACATTATCCACAATATCCGACCGGTAATTACCCACTACATCGCATCACTTCACCATTACCCACAATACTCGCCCGGTAGCTAATTGCCCTAGGCTACAGATAGTACAGCTTAACCCTCGCCCGTATTGGTGTTTTTCCAGCCGCGAACGTATAAGGGGGGGGGGGGGTCCGTTGGACCCCCCCCTTGCCGTTTCGCCCCTGATCGAGCTAGAGCTTCGCTGAAAAAACGAGCGTGTTGCCCGTCACGAGAGGAAGCCGATGATACCTAATTTTAAGGTCCTAGGTCATTGGTTGACCTTGCAGGTCAGGTCAATGACCCAAAAGTCGGGAAAATCGGGACCTGTTAAAACGTCGTAAAGTGTGGCTGCTATGGGGTTTTTCGGGGCGCCGATCACGAATATCATGTTAGTTTTGATCACAGATGATGTCTTTATGCATTTAGTCCAGGTCGGGTCAGGTCAGGTCAGGTCAACCAGTAGGGGTCCTGCCGGGTATTCCTAGTAGGTGTCAACCGCCTCTGACAGCTTCGTAACATGTTACGAAGGTACCAAAACTACTTCGTAAACGTTCATATGGTTATTAAATTCGAATTCAGCTAAAAAACTGGCCTAGAAACATGTAAAACTCGAAAAAGTGAACCGAGGTCACCAAAGGTCAATGACCTGACCTGACCTTCAGATGACCTTGACACCCACCCTAATGCATGGGGGCAACATCATATCACATGTTTGAACGCTTGAAACCACGAAAAGACTGCAAACGCGCGGCTAATGCGAGCCGACATACGCCGAATCGCGATTCCGGCCAAACATGGTCTCGAAAAGTAGGTCACAGGTCAAAGGTCATTGGGGTCAGGGTCATGAAATTTTCAGGGTGGGTGTAAAATTGATCAACGCGAGGGTACTGAAAGTTTCGTTGCAATCGGCCGCTTTTTACGCGAGTTATTCGCGAAAAACCATGGGGGGGGGGTCCGTTCGACCCCCCCCCCCCCTATACGGGCGAGGGTTAAGCGTCTCCTCTCGTGTATATAGTAGACATCTGACTGGCTAATCTGACGGACCAATGGTCAGCTGACTGACCAATCAGCTGACAGACCAATCAGCTGACTGACCAATCAGCTGACTGACCAATGGTCAGCAGACGGACCAATGGTCAGCCGACTGACCAATGGTCAGCTGACTGACCAATGGTCAGCTGACGGACCGGTCCCCGCCCCGGGCCGGGTGACGGCCGCCGGCCGGGACCGGAGCGGGCGGGCGCGGCGCGGCCGGCCGCCGTCTGAACTGACACCGCGTGTATACTGCCAGCTCGGACGGCAGCTAGCCAGTAGTCGAGTAGAGCTGTCCGTGTGGGACGTGTCACAACACGCTCAGCACGGCGCTCAGCACCGCCGAGCCGAGGTGCAGCCAGACCCGGGGGAGCGGTCACGCGACCGAGCCGTCCGACTCCACCGGGGGACGGTCACGTGACCGAGGCCGGCCGTGCCGCCGGGACCAGGCGCGGTGAACCGAGTCGGACGGTCAGAGACGTGTGTTCTACATACAGAATAGCGTAATGCCACGATCGGTAGTCTCTCCAGCACATCACTTTTCACTGTCCAATTACCCACAATACCCGCACGTTAATAACCCACTGCATCACATACCACCGTGCAATTACCCACAATACCCGCCCGGTAATTACCCACTAGGTCACATCCGTGTGCTACTGCTACATCTACACTACAACTACTACAACTACATGACTACACTAGAGCGGACACCGGGGCCGTGTGCCGGCTGACCGGCGCCGCTCTCAGTGCCGGCTGGTGCAGCACACACGGCAGCAGTCAGCTGGCGGCCCCGGCCGACTGGCTCGGCCTCTCTGCAGTCAGCTCATCACTGCACGGTCGGTAGTGCAGCGCATCAATACCACCACAGACTCACTATGACCCCAGCGCCTTGCTGGCTCTTCAGCTGACGGTACAGCTCCCCTGTGGACAGAGCAGAGACACGTCTGAGGTGGACACGTCACACACAGACAGACACACAGACAGCGGTACAGCCATGTCCACACACCGCCGGCCAGTGACGTCACACACAGGACAGACGGCTGACGTGACGTCACCGTCGGCCGTGGTGGCCGTGACGCGTCACGTCACCGTCCGTGACGTGGCCTGCGGCGGTGGTCGAGTGTGTGTGTGTCTGAGAGGCCGGTGGCGCCGTGCAGCGTCTGTTGTGAGGGACTGACTGGTCAGAGGCGCGGCGCGCGGCGCCCTCTCACCTACCGGGGACACGGAGATAGATGGCACCGAATATGCCCCGGCGCAGGTCCGCCTCCTTCAGGGCGGTCAGCACGGCCCGGCCGGTGTCTGCCGTGCAGTGAAGGTACAGATACTCCAGCTTCCGACACGACTTCACCAGTCTGTAACAGAGCAGAGCAGCAGAGCCGTCACACACAAACACAGCGGCACCAGCCGGCCGGACGTACGAGTCAGTGTCAGTGTCAGTATTTCAGTATCGGTGTGTTGGTGTCAGTGACAATGCGTCAGTGTCAGTGTCAGTAGTTCAGTGTAAGTGTGTTGGTGTCAGTGACAATGCGTCAGTGTCAGTGTGTCAGTGTGTCAGTGTGTCAGTGTGTCAGTGTGACATTGTCAGTGTCAGTGTGTCAGTGTCAGTGTGCCATTGTCAGTGTCAGTGTGTCAGTGTCAGTGTGTCAGTGTCAGTGTGTCAGTGTCAGTGTGTCAGTGTCAGTGTGTCAGTGTCAGTGTGTCAGTGTCAGTGCCAGTGTGTCAGTGTCAGTGTATCAGTGTCAGTGTACCAGTTTCAGTGTATCAGTGTCAGTGTGTCAGTGTCATTGTGTCAATGTCAGTGTGTTAGTGTCAGTGTCAGCGTGTCAGTGTCAGTGTCAGTGTGTCAGTGTCAGTGTGTCAGTGTCAGTGTGTCAGTGTCAGTGTGTCAGTGTCAGTGTGTCAGTGTCAGTGTGTCAGTTTCAGTGTGTCAGTGTCAGTGTCAGTGTGTCAGTGTCAGTGTCAGTGTGTCAGTGTCAGTGTCAGTGTGTCAGTGTCAGTGTCTGACAGGACACCCCTCGCCAGTGTCTGCTGACTGACCTGCTGACCGCTGCTGCTGTGAGGGCCGTCTCTGCCGGCCGCTGGAGGTCCCCCAGTGTAAGGTACTGCAGTCCGGGGCAGCCGCTGAGACTGTCCAGCACGGCGTCAGGGACGCCGCCGGACAGGGTGAGACACCGCAGCTCAGGGCACCTGGTGAGGGGCTCCAGACTCACGGCGTCAGGGACGCCGCCGGACAGGGTGAGAACCCGCAGCTCAGGGCACCTGGTGAGGGGCTCCAGGCTCACGGTGTCAGGGACGCCGCCGGACAGGGTGAGATACTGCAGCTCAGGGCACCTGGTGAGGGTCTCCAGGCTGCCGGCCGTGAGATCAGGACAGTCTGGAAAACACACAGACACACATACAGACAGGATCAGTCGGTAGAAATACATGTAAATAAAAAAAACGAAATAGTTATGAATTCGCATGGTTTTATGGGCACCGTAAGCCATGATATAACAGTGGTACTATATGATATGCCATATAAACATGAATGAATGTGATAACATGAATGAATGAACATGATAACATGAATGTTCATGTTATCTATGGATATGCAATCACTTCAGCCAATGCATTGAAGTGCATTGAACATTGCATTACAATCGCAATATGTTGTTCAACTAACTATGAGGGAATATGTCACTGATTGAACAGTCCTCCTCCATTTTGGAGCTCAATTAGCTTCATTATTTCACAAAGCACATTGGCTATGTATCACACCTGTCTCTATGAGGTGAGACAACGGCACACCGTTACTCGGTGTCCGCCATTCGCTGATCTCGTATATCAGCGGCCTGTCCGTGCTGCCGCTGCTCACCGTATATATACAGTAGTTTGACCGTCCGTCCCAGGTCAGCCAGGTGACTGATGGTGTCGGCAGCCACCCCCTGGAGCGACACTGACAGACCGCCCCACGGGTACCCTCCCAGCCACCTCAGCTCCGTCACCTCCGGCCCTGTCGGACAGAGCTGTGTCAGCTGACTGCAGTCGGACAGAGCTGCCGCCAGCTCCCTGCTGCACCACTGACACCAGAGTGTCAGACACTGACACAACCAGCACTGACATAGCCGAGTGGCCGCACAGAAATAGCCAATTTTTAGCACCAGCAGTCATATGTAGAATGTGAATATGAACATAATACGTATATGCGATAAGTATATGCGTAATACAATAGCCTATGAAACTACGAGGGTTGTTCCAAAGGTAATGCCTCCTATTTTTTAACTCCGGCCCAAATGTTCGGAGGGGTTTGAAATTTGCACCGTATCAGGACGTAACCTTTACCCGCATGCCTTAAAATTTCCATTGTTCTTTTACATATATTTACAGTAAGACGCCTTGGTAAACAAGGCTCGTCATGGAGACTCGTCAGAAGCAGAGATGCGTCATTGAATTCCTTCACAGGGAAGGGAATGCACCCATCGACATTCACCGTCGCCTGCAGAAGGTCTATGGAACAGACGCGGTGGATGCGAGCACAGTTAGGAGATGGGTCCGTTTTGAGAGCGGTTAAAGTGATGTCAAAGACAGAGCTCGCTCCGGACGTCCGCTCATCGCCACCACCCCGGAGAACGAAGCGCGCCTCGATGGATTGATCCGTGCCGACCGGCGGATAACTCTCAATGAAATGCGAGAAGAGTTGGGTGTAGGTGTAGGAGTTACGGATCGCATTTCACACCAACTCTTCTCGCATTTCATTTAGAGTTATCCGCCGGTCGGCACGGATCAATCCATCGAGGCGCGCTTCGTTCTCCGGGGTGGTGGCGATGAGCGGACGTCCGGAGCGAGCTCTGTCTTTGACATCACTTTAACCGCTCTCAAAACGACGGACCCATCTCCTTACCTACTGTGCTCGCATCCACTGCGTCTGCTCCATAGACCTTCTGCAGGCGACGGTGAATGTCGATGGGTGCATTCCCTTCCCCGTGAAGGAATTCAATGACGCATCTCTGCTTCTGACGAGTCTCCATGACGAGCCTTGTTTACCAAGGCGTCACACTGAAAATTTATGTAATAGAACAATGAAAATTTTAAGGGATGCGAGTAAAGGTTACGTCCTGATATGGTGCAAATTTCAACCTCCTCTGATCATTTAGGGCGGAGTTAGAAAATAGGAGGCATTACTTTTGGAACAGCCCTAGTACTACTACTCTCATTGGTTGCACTATGTCTATAATTATTCCTCATTGGAATACGTGCTCACTAATTGTAGCAATGCCTGCCTTCCCGTGCTGGCCGCCTTCGATCGTGGCGCCACCAATACTCTGTATAACCGCCGCGCCAGGGCCGCGGCCAGTCAGTCTCGTCAGTCTGCTCAGACTCGTCGTCAGCGAGCTATCTATGTAGTCAGTCAGTGTCAGTCGTCGATTAATACTCAATACGTTTGTTCGGAAATTTGCTGCTTGTGACAATGCAACTATTGCTAGTACCTCAACTTTTAGGTAAATCACCCCGTGACGTTACACTAATATTCCACGCATATGCCACAAGCATGGCCATGGACACTATCGAAGGGCGTGCATTGAACCCCTTCCCCCTCTCACCACAATACGAGACGAGTAATATACACGATTAACGATGAAACTTGCTAGTTGAGGCTGATTGGTTCGTCCATTTGCCGTCTTCCCTGTTCATTTGCATATACCGGCATTACATGTGTGATCCGAGGTATCTCACCTCTGACATTGAGGAGTCTGAGGCCCTCCGGCAGCTGCCCCCTCAGTCGCGGAAGGTCGGCGGCGGAGACTGATAGGCATCGCAGCTCAGGGCACCTGGTGAAGGGCTCCAGGCTGCCGGCCGTGAGATCAGTACAATCTGGAAAACACACAGACACACATACAGACAGGATCAGTTAGCTGTAATACATGTCGATATATGACAAAACGAAAAAAACACCTAATAATTCACATGGTTTTATGGACACAGTAGAAAATGGAAAAATAGTGCTATCTGATATATGCAATGTTAAGCAAATGCAATGAACTTCATTGAACAGTGCAACACAATTGTTATGAGTATGATCAACTAACTCTGAACGAATATGTCACTGAGTGAACAGTCCTCCATTTTGGAGCTCAATTGGCTTCATTATTTCGCAAAGCACATTGGCTAATGGCTATGTATCACTTCTGTCTCCATAAGGTCCGACAATGGCACACCGTTACTCGGTGTCCGCCATTCGCTGAGCCCGTATATCAGCGGCCTGTCCGTGCTGCCGCTGCTCACCGTATATCTCCAGTCGGTTGACCGTCCGTCCCAGGTCAGGCAGGTGACTGATGGTGTCGGCAGCCACCCCCTGGAGCGAAACTGACAGAACACCATCCCCGTACCGTCCCGGCCACCTCGGCTCCGTCACCTCCGGCCCTGTCGGACAGAGCTGTGTCAGCTGACTGCATGAGTCGGACAGAGCTGCCGCCAGCTCCCCGCTGCACCATTGACACCAGAGTGTCAGACACTGACACAGCCAGCACTGACACAGCCGAGCGGCTGCACAACGATATTTTTACCAACAGCATACATACGTAAATATTCAAATATGGGCAACATAAGTATACGATTTTTGCAAGGCACATTGGCTTAGGCACTAGGCAGCCAGTCAAGGTATAGTAACGGATCAGGTTGGTAAACTACCTAAATATATGGTTCGCAGTGGGTGCAATCTAACCATTTCAAATTACAATAATTGCTACAATAATATTTCATGCATGCACTTGATGCTCACACTGTATGCAAATGCATGCATTGCATCACTCTAACAATATCATATAACACAAACAAGGCTGTAAGATGTTGGCTGAATTTGATCGGTTCGTCCATTTGCCGTCTCCCTGTCCATTTGTTTATCTATATGCATTGTCCATCATACCGGCATTACATGCATGATCCGTGGTATCTCACCTCTGACATTGAAGCGCCTGAGGCCCTCCGGCAGCTGCCCCCTCAGTCGCGGGAGGTCGGCGGCGGAGACTGACAGCCGCTTCACAGTCTCCCGTGAGCTCCGCAGCTCCGTCAGCTCGCTGTCACCGACTCCGGCCGGAAGGATAATAGTGTTTGGGCCCACCCTGATGATGGCACCACGAAGTTGACTTGGAATAGTAGTAATTTGTGCTGGAAAGGTGATTGAACCAATGTCAGGCATTTGTCTAGGTCAACCATTGTACACTTACCTACAGGTGTAGAAAACACAGAGTGAAAATTGTTTGTGGCTACAATGCTGTGATAATTCCGTGTCTGAGTAAATAAGTACTTTATCAAAACGATGTGAATTTCATAAGTTACGGCGACTTTCCGTAACGAAATATTCAACAAATAAAATGATAATGGGTCTTTGACATATAAAACAAAATCACCATTAATTAGTGCATTATATTCCGAACTAGGCATATTTTCATGATGTCAATTGATCAATATGACAGTTTTTGAAACCTTTTCACATAAGTATTTTGTTCAGCACTTAGGTATGTGTAGCTAATTATAACAATTTTGTATCGTTATAAAATTTGTAGCGTAAATATTACGTCCATTAGAGGCCCAAATCATTGACCATCACCATTCACCACACGGCACACGACTTGTCATCCTACAGGTACAGCTTGCCATGGCTTATGGCTTCCGTCTTACCTTAGGATGAGGCAGCATTACCTGCAATACATGTAATATGTGTTGTATCCAGTTATTCTTGGTTTGATTTAGGCTTCAGATTTTCAGGGATAAACTGCTTCTCCAAGTGATTTATGAACATTTGCTAGAAAAAAGCAGTTCCTTAGAGCAAAAATAACAAGCAAGGAGCGTTGCCGCCGGCCAGTTTTCCTGTTCTTCGTGTCCCTGTGTCGCCCCCTGCCCCGTTCAGGAGCGCCCGGCAGCGCCACCTGCACCTGACCAGTCCGACAGCGTTTGGGGTCGCCGCGCACCGCCGACAATCAGCTGACGCGGCCGGCGGCGCGTCTCAAGGTCACTGGAGGTCAGCCGGGCCGCGGCCCGCCGGGGTGGCCGTGACGTCACAGCCAGCGAATGCAGAGCGCCGGAACAGCTACTGTTGTTTATCCCTTCCTAGCCATTCATATATGAGTAACTTCAACCGCTGCTCACCATCCGTGACTAGTAGGGTAATCCGTGACCCCAGCTCCGTGGCCAGGTGACTGATGGTGTCGGCAGCCACCCCCTGGAGAGATACCGACAGACCACTCCCGTACCGTCCCGGCCACCTCGACTCCGTCACCTCCGGCCCTGTCGGACAGAGCTGTGTCAGCTGACAGCAGTCGGACGGAGCTGCTGCCGGGTCGGGAGGCGGCTGACACTGTGGTGTCAAACCCTGACACAGACGACACTGACAAAGCCAGGGTCGATCGGCACTGTTGGACAGTAATTGAACATTGTGCACAATGCATGCACTAGTGTGTATAACCTACGCTTATACATGCGTCAGTTAATTAATACAGTTCAGTACATACAGGTCATACCTATTCGTTTGAAAGAGTATAAAGAAGGTACAATACAGTGGCTAATATTTGTGTAGACTGTAGCATGTAGGTAGCATGGCACATCCCAGCCAGCAATCCCACTCCGTTCCCGATCGGGATTTTCGGACTCAGCCCGCACCACCCCGATCGGGACCGGAGTGGGACGGGATTGGGAAATGAGACACTTTGTACGGGCTGGAACGGTCCGGATATCCCAACCTACCCCGCACGGTCGATTGGGAGATTCCGCACGTATCCGGACCGCCTTATGACGTTTTAACAAGCGCTGAACTCCGATCCCGATCGGGATTCCCCAAATCTCCCCGTACAACCGGTTCGGAAATCCCGCACGCATCCGGACCGCCTTATGGCATTTTAACAAGCGATGAACTCCGATCCCGATCGGGATGTCCCAACTCGGCCCGCACGGCCGGTTTGGGAATACCGCAGGCATCTGACATATTCACCGCAGTCTTATAACCGCAGATTGCTGTTATGCAGATGCGACCACTTTGCTTGCGCCACCGCAACCCCCTCGCCTCTTCATTATTCTCCAACTCAACCTTTATAATGCCTGCACGACAAAATGAATTACATTGGACACTGAAATATATTCACAAATTTACTGGTTGCACACAGGTCAAATTTTCACAAATTCACAGCCTGGCCAGCACATTCGTGGCGTCGGCCATCATCTTAGCGCCGCTGCAAGGCGCTGGCACAGCGGACTCACTTCCGGTGTTCACAGTCATTATAGCAGGCCTGCGCCTTGTTCGTGTCGGCTCCTCTGCGGACAGTGTGTCCGTCTGCCGTCACGAGCTTCAGAGAGCCACCGCGAAACTAGACGGCTGGCATCTGGTCGGGCGGTTCACCACTGTGCGAAGAGAGCATCTGAAAACGACCAATAGGTTATTAATCAAAGTCTGGGACACACTAAAAAACACTAAGAAATAATCCACATCTGACATTTCACATGGTATGCCTGGTAATTCGGGTTTCAAACCTACAATGCAACCATTAATGACACTTGACAATGAGACCAAACATCTTCTGTCCATGATAACTGATCAAACATGCGACAGCACGAGTGTAATTCACATGCCGTACAACCACAGCGAACTTAACAATTTCTATTACCAATAGCTTTCCCGCTCCCTACATCACGGATGAAGTGTGCACTATACTCACCCTGTTCTCAAAGACGGACTGATTTCCCTGAACGACAACAGTTGAACCGACCGCTTGCTAGAGCCAGTTCAAAAGCAATATCCTGATGCAGCAGCTCAAAGGAGGGATCGACACTTGACCAACGCGGCAGCTAGACTGGCCGCTGCGCTCAGAGGACGCGTCTGCCTGCACGCGGCCCATCTGATTGCTTTTCCAGACTTTCTGGGCCACCGGATATGGTGCCCGAAGCGCCTTCTCAGATCGGTTGGGATAACAACGTAAATCACAAGCCTGTCTAAACATGGGATTCGATTGGGCTATCCGTACCGCGTCCCAACCGATTAAGCATGCGGTCCGGAAATCCCGAGTCGCCCCTACCGCCGGCCATCGAGGTCCGGTATCGATTGGGACAACCCAAGCCTACCCAACCCGGTAGGGACAAGTTGGGACATCCGGAGCCTATCCCGACCGTCCCCAACCGCATCCCGGACGAATTGCTGGCTGGGATACCTATTATGTCTGCTGAACGTTAATCACTGAAACTGTTACTTTATGTACTATGTAAGTACCTACCAGGGCCTCGGCTAACATGTTAACCCTCGCGGGCCCGGGGGGGGCGTTTTTCGCCCCCCCCCCTGGCGAATATTTGCGATAACTCCCGAACGCTTAGAGATAGGAAGGCAAAACTTTCAGTACCTTTTCTCCCATTAATTTGACATCTTCTGAAGTAAAAAATTTGGACCTAGCCCCCTTGATGACGTCACAAGGTCCATTTTTCTAGACCCCTGCACGGCAAACTTCGTCGTCACAGACGCAAACTTCAAATAGCTGCCAAAAATAGAGTTTTAGAGATAAAGACAAATTACGAGCACGGCTGTGTAGCGTTTGACCTAGAGAAAAATGGAAAAATAGTTTTGTTGACCTGAGGTCAGAGGTCAGGTCAACGACCCCGAAATGTGGTTTTAGTTTTTCGCAAATAACTTCGACAAAAATGGTCCTAGAGCTACGGCAGTGGTACCATCGCATTCACCTTGTCAAGCCGCGTCGAATGATATATATTTTGTTCGGAAAAGGTCAAGTTTCATGTTGACCTCATGTGACCTCGAATGACCTCTGGTTGACCTTGACACATTGAAGGTCGTTTATGATGGATTTGTACCCGCTGAACACGAATCTGGCATCTATTTTCCTCTAAGCCTTCATTTAGAGCTTCCGGATGGCACAATTGTCTTATTTATTATTACTAACTTGAATCAGTGAAATAGCCTCTAGCAGGGATACTCTTCTGTGACCTTGACCTTTGAGCAGCCTTGTATCGTAAGATGAACCACAAATAGGGAACTGATAAGCCTCAAAACATTTCAAAACATCTTGGAAGTTAGCACGCAAGATGTGCGAAAAAGTGCCAAGTTTGAGGTCAATTTTGAGCGTGACCTTGACCTTGACCTTTGATTTGGAGCACATTTTCAGAATCCTCAGATTCTCTTCTTTCGTTTGACACCCAATTTTGCCGGTTTGATGCAGCCTGCCGTCCTCTAGAAGGCTTACTTTGAGATCACTACACATGTGCCGGTTTTGGCCTTTGACCTTGACCTCTGACCTTGAAAATTGACCTGAGGTCAAACATTTTAGGTGCATTAGAATCGTCTCGTAAGGACCTTTCGTTTGGTATCGCTTTTGTTTCCGTAGCTCCCTTATTTACGGAGTTAGACAGGGGGGGGGGGGGCGAAAAACGCCCCCCCCCCGGGCTGCGGTGGTTGGGATTACCCCCCGGGCCCGGCCGGGTTAACTGGTGGGCCAAATGGCCAACCAGTGACCCGAAATGGCCCACCAGCCTCAAAGATTTGGCCCACCAGTAATTTTCCGAAAAATCGAAGTTTTCACATTTTACTTCACGACATAGGTAACACTAGGGTGACCCGCGTGCTCCGCAACGCGAAAAGGGATATTTTCGATCGGCGGGTGTTCAGTTGTTCTTGTGTCGGTTGGGTTATCTATCCATTTCGGTCGATTGCTTTTTGACGGCTAAACGTTAGTTGGTTTGTGGAAAAAATACCACCGCATCGAGGTGCCCGTGTCTGATAAGCATGCTTTCCACTTCAGAATCTGTCAAATGTGCTTTATAATTTAGGCGCGTAGTTTTATGACAAATTAAAGGCGTAGATAATTTTCACTAAAAATCGTTTTGCAGAGGTTTGAAACATTTATATTTTTAAGAATACTGTTGCTTGTCATGCAAACGTGATGATTGGATCTTGGAGAGAATTGAATGCTCTTTCCAATGATAGCATTTTCAATTGTCAAACGTATCAGGGTAAGCAGCAAAATCCGTGTAATTATTTAGTGGCACATTTTGGACAAATACCATTTAATTCAGCGATTTTTTCCACATTGCTTTTGATCAATTAGCTTTTCACAATTTTTCCATGAGAGACGGTACATTTTTATTGCTAATAGGCGCTGTTTCAACTCATTCCGTCTGACGATCACCTGAAATTAATATAAATTCCAAAATCCGTCCAAAACGTCCATTTTTCAAAAGAAAGTGTCCTCCCCGGTGCACGTGGCGCGTGCCAACCCCTGCACCGCACACCATTCGATAGCCCGTTCGATTCTCTACACGATGCTGTTTTCCCCGTACCGGTCGGGCCCACGGTTACCGAGATATTGCACCGGGACCGGACCCGTGTCGGGCAAATTTGGCTGTTTTCGCCCGTTTTTGCCAGCCGATTAACCCTCGCCCGCACATGGGGGGGGGGGGGTGGTTGCCACCCCCCCCCCCCCAGGCAGTCTTTCTGCTCTGCACTCAACATTTTTAGGGCTAGAAGGCTGATTTTTCGTATAGCTGCTCGTCTATTCTTTCTTGATGTCCACTGAAAATTTCAAGTTTCTGTGATTTTTGGTTTCGGAGATATGACCTTATTTTTCAGGTCATGTCATGACCCAAATGGCCAATTCTCAACATCTTGCGTTTGCCATGGGCCTTGTGAGCTTTTGACACCCTGATTTCGGCCTTTTTTGCCAGTCTCACCTCCCACCTATCATGGAACATGTTGTTCGACGATGTACAGGGGTCAAGGTCAGGGTCAAGGTCAACCTAGGTCATCTAAGATAATTGCGTTTTAGGCAAGCTGAATTTACTTTTTGTGAAGTTTTTTTACTGCATTTTTGGTAAAAGCTTCTCAGATCATGATTTCATGTGATATGGACCCAAAAACAATCGGTGCACACATCAGTATACACACAGACACACACAGACATACAAACACATATAATTGACCTTGACCTAACTTGACCTGAAATGACCTCAGCAGCAAAATTCTGGTCGGATAGTGTGACAAAGAGGTTCTAGCTGGCTTGGCACCAGAAAACAGCATCACTGAGAAAAAAATTGACTCCATATGGGTCAAAACTCTTGAAAATGCTCCCCTGAAAACTCCTTAAAACCATTGATAACTCCCTTTCCAGCAGAGTTATTGAGTGTGTTCTAGGGTAACTTCGAGCCTTTCTCATTTTGCGAAAGAGTTTTCAAGAGTTCTTAATGGATGGCGAAATGACTCCATGTGTGACACCGCATAACTCTGTGACGCAGCTCTCCAT